CAGGCAAAGCAGCAGAGGCAGAGGTTGGGGGAGAGGGGTAGGGGTGCAAAGAAGTGCATCTGCTGCAAAGTGACATTGCCACCCATGCTGGTGGGGACACAGCTGTGGCAGGCAGTGGCACTAATGGCCTTCCCCAGCTCCATCCCTCCCCCTTGCCTGTCACAGGCAGGTTAAACATTAGCATACACTTTCAGGTTATCTCAGGCTAGCCCAAGGCAGGAGCTTCCAGAAACATCCTGTGAGATTTACCTATCTCACTGAAAAAATGTTGCTTTGGGGTGGGAGATGAGCCTGAGCCCACCCTGGCAGCCACCCCTGACCGTAGGAGTGACAGTGCCCATCCCAGAGGACCACACCCTCCTCACATCAGCAAGACCAGCTACTGAATATTTGGCAACACCCTCAAATTGTCCATCTGTCCCCAGATCCCCATCATTTTCCCAGATCAGACCTGCTCAGCAGCAGAGCTGGCACAGACACCTACATCAAGGGCTCTGCGGCCCCAGCTCCTTAAATCCCAGGATGATGGGAGCACCTCTGCTTGCTTTTCCAAAGAAGGAAGTTTCCAGCCTTTGCAAATGCTCACGGACGTGGCTCTAATGCTTCCAAAACAGAAGAGGAAGGAGAGAACCGAACCACATTATTAGCTTTAAATATCTCATGACCTTTTACTGCAAATCTCAAGATCTGAAGCGCAGCCCTCCTCACGGTTCGTTAACATTTCATGTTGTCAGCGCGGCCAATGGGTTCAATTAGACTTCACGACGGCATCTGCAAATTGCTGGCAAACCCACTGGAGGAAATCCTCCCTCGGTCTGGCCGCCAGCTCTGACGCTGCCTCAGAAATACCTCCTGAGCCTTTGCCACGTTCCCAGATGTGCACTGAGCTGGTTGGTGCTCAGAGCACACGAGATCTCCTCCCAAACACTGGCAAAAGGGAAGATCCCGCTCCAGGAAACACTACGGCTCAGGAGCAAACGAGGTGCAAGACTTGCCCTGGGCTCCCCAGGGATGCTTGGGATGGTGCCTGGACACTCGCCTGCATCTAGGGGTGAGTGTGCAGATGTGCTTGCTGGGAGATCGCATGTGTGAGTGTGGCGACTGCTGCTGTTGCAAGTTAACTGAAGGAGCCTGTAAAACCAGAAACAGGCTATTAGCAATCCATTAGGAAAGGATATCCAGTTCCAGCCTAGGTAAGCCATTAGAGGAACATCTGAGAGCATTAGGAGAGCTCGCTTGGGGCCAGGATGGGGCTATAAAACAGAAGAGGAAACCACGCTAATCTGGCTTGAATTACAAACTTAAAAGCAGGAAAAAAATAAAGGATACCCTAAACATTTAATGTTTTATATTTAGGAGACAGAAGGGGAGATTCTGCCAAAAGGAGAGAATAAAAAAATCTGTTTAGGCTACAAATATCCCGTGTCTCTTCTGGCAGCAGAGGAGCCACCAGCCCCTCTTCCAGAAAGGGAGGAGCATGACTCTAAGGCTGCTTGAGTTTCAGAGTGAGCTCAGTGCTGGTGGGGTAGAGGGGAGCCAATGGCCACCTGATGTGACAGGACTGCAACCCCAGCAGCCTGGAAATACCCATGCCCGAGTTCGAGGAAGCTGCTGCAAGGCACCTTGAGGGAGCAAGGAGCATCTGGAACATGCCCTGCTGCATGCTGACGTGGAAATTCATCATCATCCTCTCTCCATGATAATAGTCCCCAAAGCGCATCAGCACAATTCCCAGGGCAAACTGCAACACGAGAGCTGCTCAGCAGCCTGAGCAGACGAAAGGCACTGCTGAGCGGGGGCAAGAGTGTGCAAACAGCACTCTGGGGCTCAGACCCACCTTTGCCAAGTGCTGGGAAGGGGATGCGGACGTCCCCTCAGCTTTGGGTCAGCCCTAGATGTTGCTTGATGCTGGGAGGATGCCTGGGCACAGCATCACCCAGCTCCCTCTGGGGTAAACGGGCATTTATGCCTAGCTCATGCAGAAACAGCCTCTATAAGATCCACTTTTCCAGCCACAGACAGCTTCATATTCTGGTGCCAAGCCCTGGCATTATCAAAATCCTGAAAGGAAGAGCCTGGGAGAAAGCAGACTCTGATTGAATCAGGCCCTACGGTATTCGACAGCTTGACATCCATCTGATCCTATTAGTGCTCATTTGGTCCTGCCTGCTGAGGTACCGTGCATAAATCAGACCCTGAAAAGATAACATGGGGTGGAGGGGAGAGAGGAGCTGCTGCTTCTGCCAAGAAATGCAACATGTAAGCAGGGCCTCCATGGATATCCCTGGCCCTGGACAGACTCTGGTGCTCCCGTGTGGGTTTGTTCCATCATGGATGCTGCGCTTCCCATGGGCTGCCAGGGGACTGGCAGGAGATGCTTAAAATCCCCTGCTGGCGCATGGGTGGGCTGCCATGAGAAGGCAGGGATGAAGCTTAGTGTGGGGACCTTGGGCACACAGTGATGTGCCAGAGCATGAGGTTATCCAGCTCCTCCTAGTTGATGGTGGAGGCTTCTCCTCTCCTTGCTGGGCTCCCAAGGTGCCCTGTTATCAGCAAGCAGGCTGTGTGCAATGGTTTTTCCATGACAGCAGCCAGTGGGGACAGAAAGAGCCAAGACGTGGGACAGATTATGGCAGGAGACCTTCACATTGATAATAACTGACACCCCCAGGCAAGTTCGGCATGCATGACTGCTGCACCCCTTCTCAGGGCACTTGTCTCTTCGAGGAGAGACCCAACACCACCCCCACAAGATGAACTGGATGGCTGAGCTCGGCTTTGGCCTACCAAGCTATGTCCTTCCCTCTCCTGGCTGGATACGGGGGAATGGGGATACCCCTCAAGATGCCAACAAGAATAGTTCAAGCAAAGCAGAGCTCAGCATGGCTTGGGCATCCTCCCAGCATGATGGTTTCAATGGGGTTCATTTTTGGGTGCAAATCCCTGCCTTTGCATCATGCCCAGCGGGGCTAAGCAGGCTGAGCTTGCCAAAAGGAGTCTGGGGTCGGAGCAGCTCTGGCTGCTGCAGCGCTGCCATCCCCGGGTGCTTGGGAGCTGATTGAATTAGGCTTTGCAAATAATTCATCTGATGAATAGTGGCAGTTTTCCTCGAATCATCCACAAATCAGATTTTTCATTACCCAGCCAGTGGGGCAGAGAGTCAGAAAACAAGGCAGGTACCACACTCACTGAACGCTTGCACTTGCTCACCGGCAAATCGTTCTCCAAACACACTTCTCCATCTGCCGGTGATGAGGGACACATCTCTTGTAAGGGGTTATTGCTTAAAAGCTCTACCCAAGACTGCTGCACCCTTCTGGGGTGCTGGGATACCAGCCCTTCCTGGCCATCCTAGCACCCACCACCAGGGCTGTTACCTTAAGCTCTCTCAGCAGCTCAGGGTATCTTCAAAAAGGTGAAATCAAGCTATCACTGCCATAGAATTACCTTTTTCAGCTCTGGTGATGTTGCCACCAATGTCACCAACACCTCCATGTACTTCCCACCATTGCTGGCTGCCCAAAAATGCTGATGGAGAGGCCACACCATCCCTTTGGAGGCAGTGCAGTGAAGGGACTGGCACAGTTTGACCCCACCAATATGATACTTAAACACTCACAATGGAGGGAATGGCCATCATGAGGGTGTTCACGTAAGAGGCAGCTTACTGGCACCATTTCTGGGTGCAAATATCTGCATCTTCAGGGTGCCTGGCTGGATCAGGCTGTGGCTGGGTAAAAACATTAGCTTTTTCAACAACAATTTCACACCTTGAAAAAACTGACCTTGTGCTTGTTTTTTTTTCTCATTAATTCTTTCCCTTATTTTCACAACTTCTACAATATGAGCATTTCTCCCCAGTGTGAAAAAAAGAAATCTAGAGCAAACTAATACCCAGTGCTGTCATATACCTCAGGATGCCCAGTGGAAGCTTTCCCACCCCCAGTAGGGAAGCAACGGGCAAAGCAACAAGCTTCAAAACTGTTTCCCAGCCCTCCTCTGATTTTCAAAGCCATCAGCTTCAATCTGAAACATGACCTGCAGGGCTGACATGTCGAAAAACCCAACCAACACAAAAAGTCACCAAGACATTGAAATCTTGCAGAGATATAAGCAAAGTCTCAGGCATTTCTCTTCCCAAGAAGAGCTGGGAGGCAGAAAACACCGCTCGGCTCTACAATGCAGGCGAGATCCCTGTGGCCTGAATGCTGCCTCCTATTTTATTTATTGATTTTTATTCAGGGGGGGGAATGGGGAGGTGGTGTAAAAGGTTTTAGTAAGGAAAGCACCTCATTATCTTCCACCTGGCCCAGCTCAGTGCAGGGAGGATGCTGGATGAGCCATGCCAGTGCTGCAGCAGAGCACTTCCCTGCACAAGCGGAGCATGCAGGCAGCACACGGGCGGGGGGCGGGGGGGGAGGCGGGGGGGGGATAATAAAAAAACCCCACCAAACCCGTTTGTTATCTTCCTGCAGCTAACAAATGAAATCTGTCCTCAGGGCTGCCAAGGATTTCACTGGCTGGTTTTTTTTGGTTTTTTTTTTTAAAGAAACAAGAAATAAAAGTAGGAAATACGATAACATCTCAGCAATCGCTCTGTGACTGCGCTCTGAGTTACGGCGAGCGGTATTTTATCTTCAGTTCAAAATCTAAATGTGGCAGAGGCACATTTAAATGTGGTGACATTTATACTTTAAATGCCTTTTACATCTCGTTGGCAGGTTTTATACAGAACATATGTATGGAAAATAGATAGGGGCCATGGATGAAAACGCAGAGCGGGGAGAGCCCGCAGATCCATTTGTAGGCAGAATACGAGTTAAAAGAAGAGAAAGAGAGAAGGGAGGGGAGAAAGAGAAGGAGAGGAAAAGGGTCTGGATTGCCTGGGCAGTAAACAGACAGCTTTTTGGGGATCCTGACCACTTGTTCCCAGTGCTGCTTCTTCGCAGCCACCAGCTCACCCCACTCCCTCCCCTCCCAGCCAGCTCAGCATTGCTTACGTGTTGCCACTGGTCCAGGATGAGGGGCCGATACCGCAGGAAGAACTTGAGTGGGAAAGACTCAGGGTCCGGCCAGGATGAGGGGTTTTGCCATGACACCTCCAGCCTCCGAGGGTTATTGGGCACAGGTTTGGCCACCACGCTCTCTGGAGGGTCTGGTTTTACTGGAAGAGAAGAGGATGGCTGGTAAAGCTTTGCATGTGCCATCTTTACACCCCTTGGCACAACTGGCTGGGCTTCGTGCCATGTGTTTTCCAAGGGGAGCAGCCTGAGGCACAGCATGCTGTTCCCAAATTAATTAGATGGAAATTACCTATTCTCATGCAGGTCAGTGGTACGGCTGTCCTGACTCAAAATGAGTTGTCAGGGAGGTGTCAGTGCTGGAGACATATGGAAACAACCTGGCCAAGGAAGAGAGCATCCCTCCTTCCCAGAGCTGCTTACGTCAGGGTGAGGAGCCCACCAAGCCTAAATCCTGCACTTTCTTTGCATCTCCTGATTTCTGGCAATCTGACCCACATTCACACCCTCTCACCTCACAGCAATGTGGCAGCTTGGCCCTTGGCTTTAGGGCTGGAGTTTTGGGACATCCTGTGTGCCAAGGGCAAAGGATTGCAGTGGTCACCTTTATCCCAGCTGTCTCTCAGCCTTGTTCTGCTTTTGGCATACGGGGATATTTTCTTGCTACTTGACAAGTATTTCAACTGAATATTAATTGGCTGTGAGTTATGCAAGTTGCTTTGAAGTTGCAGCTACTTTTAGAGTGGGGGGAGCAAATCACAGTCAGGCTGTGATGAACAGCATTGCCCACTGCAGAGCAAGTGTTGCTCCTTACCAAGAGTTTGCTGAAATCCTGACAGCTCCAACTCCCAATTTGCAATAGCATAGCTACAAAAAGACTGAGATTTGGGTGCCTCCATGCTTTTCCTTTTCTCCTGGCCAGGAAGGAGGTGGGTGCACAGCTGTGCACAGGCTGGACAAGGGCTCTCAATGCACTCTAAGAAGAGCAATGGACAAGTCCTCATGTCCTGGGAGGGCTCTTAACCTTCTCTGAAGTCTACATGCAGGCCAATGGATCCCTCCTGGCCTAAAAAAAAATCTCTGGATTGAGTAATGGTCCCTTGACTCTGGCCACCTTGAACAGCAGCTTGTGAAGGTGCCATCATGAGACTCCACTCTCAAGCACGAAGAAGGGATTCTGGGGCTGTGGGGAGCCCCTCTCTGACTGGCAGAGTTCCTGCCCAGCACTCAGAAATCTTCTTCTCCATGCTAACACCAGGGGTTCACCTGCTATGGGTGGACAGTGATGTCCACACAGAGGCTTTGCCTTTCCTGGAGGAGGAAGGAGGTGGTGGTGGTCAGTGATCTGCTCCCTTGCTAGCCTTGCCTGTTGCCTGCAGTTCTGCCCTGTGCATGGAGGCCATCTCTCCCTCTGCTTGAAGCTGTATGGGACCAGGCACTGATGTGAGGCAAGTCTGCTGCAAGTGGACTTTTGTGTCTCTGCCATTCATTGCCATCTCTGCTCTAGGATTATAGTGGCATCACAGCGACTGTCCCCAGGAAATGACCCTTTCAAAATCTGCTTTCTTGGCTGTGGGTGAAGCAAATTGGGGCACTGAAATGAAGCCACAGCCCAGCCACTTTGATGGAACCCAGAATTGGCCCCATTCCCCATGAGACGTACCCATCACCACCTCCCTCTCCCCAGCCCTCCCACTGAGCACCCTGGCACAGACGCTGCTGCAGACCTTCTTCACCATTATCTTCATCACCACCCTCACAGCCTCTCCTGCACCCCATCGCCTTCCCTCTGCCTTGGTGGACGTAAGGACCTCTGGACAGCTTCCTCCATGCCCACAGCACCTGATGCCCAGAGGATGCTCCTGGAGGTTTGGGGAGCAGCTAGTGAGCAAGCACTCATGGGCCTGACCATGGGTGCCTTGTGAGACCACCTGGCTTCCATTGACCCTCTCTGTGGCAGGACAGGACACCATTTTCCATTTGCAGCTTTATCCTCAGCAGCAGGGATGACTTTCTGGGGCTGTGCTGTGCTGAGCTACTCCAGATGGCTGTGCAATTTCTTCACTCCCCTCTTTGAATCCCTGGGCTCGGGCTGGACATCAGCTTCCATCGACAGGGACTTGGAGTCCAAACTCATCCAGAAAAGTATAAATCCAGTGCTGGCTCGGCAGGCTTGGTTTGCGAAACAGAAGTCTGGTTGAACGAATGCAGATGACTCCAAACTGTGGCTCTGCAGTGAGGAAATGGGAAGAAAAGCTCCGGGCTGGGGATGGATGCAATGGGATACTCCCTGGGGTAACACAGGGGAGCCTGGCCTGGCTTTTTGGCATGCCAGCCTGGAGCTATGGCACAGGGATGCTTAAATGCAGTTGTGCTGGGCAGAGCAGCTGTGCTTGACTGGCAATGAGTGATGCCTCTGTGGTGGGTTAGAAGAAAGCAAAACCAAAATGGTGCCTGATGCTGAGGTGGGAGTCACCTCGTTTGGTGGAGATGTGAGCTTCAGTCCCACTCCTGTGGATTGGGACAGTCCTTGGTGCACAGGGGAGGGCTTCCCTGGCTCTGGCAGAGCATGGCAGAGCCTAGCCATTGAAAGGGAATGTGCTTCTGGCTGTAGTGAGCCTTAAAAATGGCACTGCAGATTAATGGGAAAACTGGCAGAACTTGCTATCTCCCCATGTGTCCTCCTGTCCATGGGACTCCTGCCCAGGCTAGAGAGAGCAGCAGTGCCTGCCCCTCTGGAAAAACAAAGACAAAGCTGTTCCTGCCACATGTCTCCAAGGCAGCAGGGATGCAAGACTCAGGAGAGAGGATGGCAACTGCAGCAGCTGGTCCTGCAAGGACAGACCTACATGTCTTATGACAGACCTCTTTTCACTGTGCTCATCATGGGAAATATCAGGACAGGTCCCACAGGAGCCAGCTGAGGAGTGAGGAAAGATGGGCTGTGTCCAGCTCCCTGATTTCTATGTGACCTTGAAGGAGTCCTTTATCCTCTGCAGGCTCCTGGGTCCCTGCTTTACAGTTGGGGAAGAGAGCTCCTCCTTCCTCAGCCTTTGTCTGCCTCCATTTAGCCTGCGCATGGTGAGGCAGGGGCTGTCAGGCTGCATACATCAGTCAGCATAATAGAGCCCTGTCCTCAGCAAGGGCCTGCAGGCAGTAACATAATAAAAACAATAATAGTAATAATAATAATAATAATGAACCATGGGCATTAGGCTGAGTACTGGTTAAGCGGCTACAAACTCAGATGTAATATTATCCCATGAGCTAAGGGAGCATCTCCAGACATTCCTTGGGAAGGGGACGTGGCCAAGAAGCAGCTCACAGCTCTTCCCACTTGGTTTTTGACTGGTGCATCCAAGCGAGGTCTTGGCGTGCAAGGAGACTTGTGGTGAGAAGCTCTTCCTAACAGCCCTGCACACTTGTGCCTAACGGCGAGTCTCCGACTGCCCATCATCCCTGGCTGTTGTTGGACACCTCCTGAAATGAAGCCTGTGGTTCAGAAAGGCAGCTGAGATCTGGCAGCGTGGAGGGGCCCGTCACCCACCCTGTCTCTCCAATGAGGGCTAAAATGGATCCCTTGTGGCTGTTAAATATCCCCTGGCATTTTCCACAAGCAGAGGGATATTAAACTCCATGTCTTAGCCAAATGTCAGTCTAGGTAATTTAATTCTGCCTCCCTAAGCAGTATGAATTGAACTGACCTTCTGCCTAGGCAACTGTATACCCATGTTCAGAGATTCTGCATTTTGTACAGATTCATCCATGTTTGTCTTCACAGCCCATCTGAGATGCTCTGCAGATTCATCACCCCAGGGCCGGATCTGGGAGGATCACACCATCTTCCCAAGCTCACACAAGGGATGGGTGGTGAGTCTGGGGAATGCACCCATGCCTGCAAGGCCCTGTCCAAGGCTGCTTTGCATCCTCTTAAAGCTGTGCATCTTCTCCTACTGATTTGCCCCAGGCCCATACAAGAAGAAAGGCGCCAGGACGGGATGCAGGTGCTGCTGTGAGGCAGTGACATCTGTGCTTTCCTAGAGGATGCACGTGCTGGCTACCTGGCTCTTGGGCTGAAACATGAGCGAGGAAGGAGGGACATAAATGTCCCCACGAGGGAGGTGCACAGCTCCTGACACACTATCTCACTCCTCCCTGGCACCTTTCTCTGCCCTCAAGCCCTCTCCTCTCCAGCTTCTCCACCTCCTTTCCCACCTTCTCTTGCCTTGGGCTGTGGCCCTGATACTTGCAGGGCTTTGCAGAGCCTTTCCCTCCCCATCCTCACTTTTATTAATACTGATACCTTTGCAGATGATGCAATTATGAAAATAATTTCCAGGAGTGAGACAGGGTGAGAGGCAGCCCGGATGTCCCACTGATGAGAGATGGAGGCCAGAGAGCTGGAAAACCTCTCCCAGTCATCACAGAAAATGGAAATGCAGAGAGATCCCTGACCGCTGTCTGCTAATAACCAGCATGATGGGCTTGGGACAGCAAAAGAAAGTACCTTTCATTTACACTAAATTAGACCCCATCTTCTGAGGGGCTGGGGAAGGGGTTTTCTGCTTAGGGCTCCAGGGAGGGAGGATGAAAAAAAGGAAGCAAAACCAAAGGAGGTCACTCCTTCCCAGGGGCTTTTTTGTGCTTGCCCAGGCTGGGTGGGGGGGTCTGACTCAGTAGTGGATCTGCTCCCGGCTCAGCTGGCACCAGCAGGGAACGCTGCTGGGTCTTGAACTGGCTCCAGGCTGCTCCACCCCCAGCAGGGCACAAGGTCAGGGCTTCACGCTTGGGGTTTAACCTGTTTGCAGAAGGTGTGATGGGTTTCTCTAGGCTAAGTGGAAAACACAAGACAGGGTCTGACATCCCCAGCTCTGGGATTTTACAAGAAGCACCTTGCAGTCACTGGTTGACACCATCTCTCCCTATTAGCAGGATGTGTGCACTTGTGGCAATGCTCCCACGCAGCATTTTTCCAATGAGCAGATGCAATGGTTTTATCCTCAGCCATAGGTTTTTCACCCTGCCATCTAGAAGAGCAAAACCCAGCACAACTTCCAAGATGAGTCTCAGGCCAGCTGACACTGGTAGAGACCTGCAGGGAACCTAATGGGTGCTAGATCCAGCACTGCCAGCACCCACCTTCCTGGGAACATGGCCCTAGGCTTGCAGGCACAGAGAAGACAGCCAGAACATACACTGAAATGCAGAAGCTTTTGCAAGGAGAGCTGGCAACCAAATTGCCTGCCACAATACACTAACACAATGCACTTGTTTTAATTGGAAACAAGTGACAGAGCAAGGAGAAGCTCCGTTCAGCGTAGGTTGTTGATGGGTGGCAGCTGAGTTCATCCTGTAATGACTTGAGCACTCAATCACCACCATGTCTATGTTTCTTTTGCACAGTGGCTGTACCAAATCTTGACGAGGAGAATTCCACAGCTCTAAGGAACTTGGAGATTTCAAGGTCACAAGATACTGAAGTGTTTATGGGAGTGGGTTGGCTCTGGGGTGCAGGACACAGCCCTTCTCATCTGCACCAGCCCATCATACCTTCCTCAAGTGTAATGCCAGAGGGGTGTAGTGTGTCTGCCCATTGGTGCTGGGGATCTCACCTTCCACCACAACCATCAGGATGTGGTCAGCACCCTGCACAGATCTGCTAATGGCAGGGCAATGCTGGCCTCTGTTCACTGCTCCTCCAATTTAGGCGGAGTTCAAATCTCTAGGCTGGATCTGGCTTCTGCTGGTGCTGAGGTGCCCGGGGCTTGCAGCTGGGTGTGCTTCCCAGAGGTGTTACCCTTGTGTGCTGGATGGAGGACCAGATGTTTGGGAATCCAGGCAGGTCATGGGTGGGATGCAGATGTTACAGGACAATGCCCTGAACTCCTGCAGGAGGGAACGCAAGGAACTCAGAAAATGCAGCTTAATTGCTGTCCTGGGCCCCACAGGCTGGAGGTTACCTTCATTTTTAAGGAGTGTATCTTCCACAAACACAGTAATTTCCATTTAAAGGCACTAGAGCAACTGAAACTCCACTGCTTCCCTGCTAAGCTCCTTGCCTTACTATCAACGTTCACAATGAACCAACGAATACAAGCTTTGGATATGGATGGTGGCTACAGGGACATAGGAGGACAGTCCATGGTCCAAAATAATTTTCTCACACTTCTCAAAGCTGGCACCTGGTTTCTTGCTTGATGTTTTCCAGGATTTAGGGTAGAAAGGGAAAATCTGGGATAGCAGTGAAGCTCCTCTTCTTGTATGCTGGCACTTTCAGCTGCTTGGGACTGGCACATGCAGCACATTGAAGACAAAGACTAACTGCTGGCTGCACGTCAAGGCTTCATTTATTTGTTTTTCTGGTCCAGTAATTGCCACATGTAACCAGCAAATTGTATTTTGAAGTGTTCCTGAACTCTGTTCTCTCCCATCTTTCCTGTTCTTTGAGGATGGATAGTTTTGTCTCTGCACCATCTGTAATCTGTCTTTGGCTGGTGGCAAAAGCACTGTGCCCAGCTCCATGCTTTGCCATGCCTGGCACTGAATTGCCTGGTCCATGCTGGTCCTTCACAGTTGGAGAAGCATCCACACCATGGATCTGGACATGGCTGGGGAGCATCTCTGCAGCATGGAACACCTTGGCCCCCAGGACTCACTGCTCCCTGTCTCACAATGTACAGTATCCACTGCCTGGATGGGGCACTGAAGAGGTGCAGAAGGAGGAACAGTGGTTTTAGTAGCATGTTAGGTAAGGGCTGGTGGAGGATGATTTCAGGAGGGCTTTATCCTGCCTAGGGATGAGGGCAAGAGGGTGGGACACTTAAATTTATCTTCCAATCCTAACTCACACGACTGTTTCCAGCACAAGCAGTAAGCTTCTCTTTTAGGCACACTCAGAGGACCAAGAAGGGCAATGCCCTTTGGACCACACCAGCTTTACAGCCCTCTGTGAAGTCTATGGCTGGCATGCTGGGAGGACTACGTCCATTCATCTGCCTTTGATCCTGATCCCTGTGTTCCTGCACCCTTTCTCCTGGGTTCATGCAGCCACTTCCTCAGCTGCCAAGTACAGAGCTCAGCAAAGACGGGAGACCTGGACCATTGGTGATGGGCCCAGACATGGCACTAGGCCACTGATGGGACCAGCATGAAGGCTGCCTGTGGGCATCCTGTCTAGTTGTCTAGGGATGCTCAGGTGCTGGCACCACTTACAGCAGGGCCAGAAGAATCAGGACAGGCATGAGGACAATGACAGCGTGGCTCACACCCCGGTTCCACCTCATGCATGGACAGGCAGAGGCTGCACTTGGAGAGCCTGCCCCTTCCCTGGCCCCAGCAGAGCACGCCAACCCCAACACCCTCCTGGAGGGGCCAGTTGGTGCCGTGGAAGTTACCTATGGCGAACTCGTCAAAGGTGAGAGTGGTGGAGTTTTTGCCCAAGGCATTCGTGACTGTCAGAGTCACCTTGTACTTCACCGTCGAGAAGAGCTGGAGGTATCTGATGTGACATCTGTTTTTGGGCAAGACATCCTTCTCGCAGACCATCTCTTTCGTGCCGTGTCTGGAAAGCAGGGGCAAGAAGAGCTGTTACTTACAGGGCAGTGCTTGGGGTGGGGATGCACCCATGCCACTGGAGGCAGAAGGAGCAGTGCTACGTCCCCTCGTGCACCTGCCCCTTCCACAGCCAAAGGGACACTTTCCTCCTGCCGGGGAATTTTGCAGGCTCATGCGTGTGACATCTTATCCTAATCCCACACAGAGACTCGAGTGAATATCCTAACATTGGTCCCAAAGAAAGCATGAGACCCTGCTGGGGTTGGGGTTGAACTCTGTGCCTCCAGAAAGAGGAACTGGTTCTCCTTTCTCCTGGTGACAGGGACCCCAGGAGCTAATGCACGGCACCATATAAGGGCTGTGCCAAGGGCACACGGTGGGAGATGATGCCCTGCCATGGCTAGTTCTAGGTGAAGGCCACAGCCAGCATAGAGTAGAAGGGACCAAATGCACCAAAAAACAGCAGGCACAACCTCCACAGTGGAAAACTGGTGCAGAGAGGATAGGCTTGGTGGGCTTGGAAAAGGTGCCAGGGAGTTGGGGACTTTCCCGCTCCTCTCTGGGAAAACTGGAACTTTCTTGGGACAAAGCCCCAGTGACAAGCATCCAGTTTGTGTCTGGTGCATTGTCCCCAGGCCCATTTTTGGGACACTTATCCCATATGCTCAGCACAGGTCAGACCTGTTGCCCAGACACTTCAGGGCGCTGCTTGGGACCTGCTCCAGGCTGCAGGGACAAAAAGTATTGCTGCACCATTCCCTGCTGGGCACTTACATGACAGAGATGTTGAAGGAGTTGGGGATGTAGGTGGGGGTGGGCAGGTGCCAGCTGCAGTAGAAACCCTTTGGGTAGTTGTTTGACCTGCACATCAGCAGTGGCTCCTTGGGGGGGGCTGCCAGGGGAAGAGGAAGACATTGAGGTGAGGCTGTCACCAGGTCCTGTACAAGGGGATGTCCCTCCACCCTCAACTGTTACCAGCTCAGGTAGAGGGACACAGTTTTTGCTATGATAGCCTGGTCTGTGTTTATCAGCTCATCAAAGCCTCTGAAGGCTTTGGTCCTATGTCTGGTGCTGAGGTCCTCCATGAGAACTGACCAACCTAACACCCCTCTGCATGCCATGCCAGAGAAGGAAGGGCTGCAGCGAAGTGGCTAAGGGTGCGCTCACTGCGCCAGGGAAGCCGGCAGCACCAGGAGGATGTCAAGGCACCAGTGCAAAACAGAATGCCCCACCAGCTGGGTGTGTACAAATCCCCTGTGTGGTGTGCAGCCCTGCAGAGATGCTGGCGTCCTGGAGGTCTGTCTGCCCATGTGCAGCCCGTGCCTTGAGTATGTAACACGCTTGGGCATGAGCTTCCTCTGTGCATCTGTGGGTGTCCAGGGGGACAGCAGGGCCCTAGTGGGAAACCACAGCCAGGCCATGGACTCCAGACAGGGACAACCCAGCCCATTTGCCACGAGCATGGACTGCCAGGGTGGGTGGCTGGGATCCTGGCCTGATGCTGCACCGCTGAGCCCGTGGGAAGAAAATAACAATGGGTTTTGCTGGAAAAGCTTTCGGGGAGGGGGGTGGGTGGTGGGGGCTGTGCCATGAGCTTCAGCTGTAGCACCTTGCCGCAGGGCACCAAGGG